AGCTTTAGCAAACGTCGAGTAATTTTTTTTACATGATGGTATTAGCTCAAAGATTGCAGACGGTAATAGAGGATATATAGCGCCGGGCCTCATCAAACCTAGCTGTGCCATCAAAGGCCGTTTTCAAATATTGATAAAGTGCGTAGCATTCTTGAGTATTGTGATTATATTCAAATGACCGTGCTGCTATTTTACAGATTGACCTAGAAAAAGCCTTTGGTTTTTTAGACGATAGAATTTTGATCGTTTGCTGTTTTAAATCATCTTAACCTCAGTCCAGTTATTTGTGAGGGGGTGGTCCTGGCGTACCGAAACTGCACAAGATTGGTTGTAAATAAGAGTCTGGGGGCCCCCAATTTCCGTGCATCATGCGTTCGGTTCGCCAGGGTTGCCCCACAAGCTCTTTGTTATTCTGTATTTATATAGAGACATTGTGTATGAAAATTACCAACGACAAAAGGATGACGATAGTTAGAGCGCGAGAACAGAACGGCGATGTCGTCGTTCTGTTCTCGCGCTATAGCAATCGTCATGTCATACCAACTAGCCCCAACTGCCACACTTCTAAGAGAAAAGCATCCTCGTTTTTCAGTTACAAGCAGTTGATGTTTAACTTCTAGCATACGCAGACGACATATCGCCATTTTCGCGAGAGATCGCGCAAGTGTAACACAAACTGTCGAAATTGTGCGTTTCTTTAGCCAAGCTACTGGGTGTGGCGTAAACTATGCTTAAACTGGGCCAAGTGCCTTTCGCCAGCTGCTTACTCAACCAACGTTGTGCTGGTATCGTCGAGTTAAAAGTGATGAGTAAGTGAACCAATTTGAAGTTGCACTGACGTTGGGAATGACTTTATAAAGTAACTGCCTAAATTCCGTTCGAAATTTCCCATGTTCGTTGATATCGAAGATTTGTGAGTTATATAAAAGAAAAAAAAAATGGGCTCGTCCGGGATTTGAACCCGGGACCTCTCGCACCCTAAGCGAGAATCATACCCCTAGACCAACGAGCCACGTTGAAAATTAAGTGGTACTGCACAGTATTTACGTATAGACCACGTCTAAATGAAGGAACGCACGAAAGTAATTTGTTTAATACGCGATGCTTCGATGAGCCACAGGATACGACCACATCAAATGACTACATTGTACGCCTCTTCCGCAAAACCTTAACGTCAGCCATTCGCCCAGCAGTACGCCACGCAGTGAAGGTGAACCAGAGGGTGAACTTTTTGCCTAGTTGGGTCTTCAGGAAACCTACATACACATGACGCTACTTCCACTACAGCTCGAACCACCTCGTCCACCACGAGCTTTCTGGGGTGCGAAGGGGCCCGAAAGAATCTGCCACAGCGGCGGAAGGAGGAAAATTACCTCGCTGCAAAGGGTCCACTCGCAGGGCAACGTAACACTTGCGTCGCCGCAACAACACTCAGAGTCCCCTACATCGCCGGTGCCAGCGAAGCGCAATTGCCTGCATATTGAGAGAGGCAGGGGCCACCGTCGCCCACAAGCCATCCACCACCATCGTCAGATTCATCCATAGATCTTCCGGCTTAAAATCACGCATCGGCGGAAAAAGCTCAAGGCGTGTACAAGATCGCGTGCGCTGCCCCGCTTTCTAAACGCGCGAAAATACACGCGACAGCGACGAAGGACGCGACGTAGATCGTCTTCGCGCGATCAGTCGCTAGCGCAGGCCAACCTCATTCACGCGACGGCTTCGGCGAGCGAATTCCACTGTTGCTGGCATGAGGCCGTCTACTCGCACCAAGAAAACCGCGTGAGCGATATGCAATTTAAAAATAAGATATATTGTTGTTGTGTAATGAAACGGAAAGTGTTTATTACTGCCTTGCAGCATTTTTATATGCACATGCGTAATAAACATTGCGTTATTTCTTGTTGCGCATACGTGACTCGGGCAGGGTCACGTGCACCTACGTAGTCTTTGTCTTTTCTGGTATTTCGCTATTGGCTGCCTGAGCCCAGCACTTCCGGGCGATGAGCGACGGTTTCCAAATCTGGAGAACCGAGCGATTGCGCGAAAACGAGCGCGCGACACGTCGCGCGAACGCCATGTTTCGTCGCTCGTCGCTGTCGCGTGCATTTTCGCGCTTATGTGGTTTGGCCATTAGAGAACAGAACGACGACGCAGAGACAAGCAACGCCTGGTAGTCTGGGGCCTCCTCTAAAAAGATGCCTGCGACATCGCATGCTTTTCTATAACGACGGGAGGTATAGTTTAGTGCTTTCTCCGCAAGGAGCGCTCGCAGCCGACACTACTTTATCTTGATTTGGAAGTGGCTCTATCACAAAGACACAACAGTGTTGCCCATGCTTCCCCTGTGGTGTTGCCTCTAGGACGGCAGCAGACATTGCTTTAATCTTAGAGGCGGCTAAGTTTAAAGCGGCTGCCACCGCGCGCGTTTAACGCCAACACTGTTAGGGTAACGTAGGAGTAGGCAACAGGAGAGGGCCGGGAACCAGCTTTTCGGCCCAAGTCGCAAGCACCTTTCTAGAGGAGGCGTTGGTTGGGGAAACAAAGAACAAAGGAACCCTCGCCGGCAACTCCTTGAATCTTGGCACCGACAGCGGGAAACATTAACCACTCCATTGCTGGTGCATTTGGCTGAAAAGGATACAAAAAATACCTACTGTTTTCTTATCTGCCCATTTCTTACTATGTGTCTTGAAACAACTAAATTAATTGAAGGTGCTTCATTCGCAAGATTCACGTAAACTATATTCCTTTAGAAAATATGCGCATGATTTGCTTCACTACATTGCACCAATGAAAGGGCCCGAACGTCACCAGTCTTCAATGCAGAAAACGTCTCTGAAATTGAAAATATGAAGCGTCAGGAGGTGAGTGCGCGAAAACAAACCTTGGACATGCTGGTGGGGTCTTGTTTGCATCTAACCGCATCCACAGCCGACACTCTGATACGCAGTCTTCGTCCCAATCTGATGATTTAGAGAAAGTAAGTTGCTATACACAGTGGCTGCGACACTAGAACTTAGTCATTTCGTGAAGATTCGAAAACAGCATTTTGTTTTCTGAACGGAGCTTTTTAGCATACGCCCACCACTTGCGCACAAAATTAGATGCCTTCTTATAATTCCGGTTATACGAATAGTCTCCTTTCTAAACCAAAGTGCATGCTTTAAGCACATTTAAAAATTATTTCCTGCACTATTTGTTCAAGCCACAGAGGACACTGAAATGAACCAGGGTAGCTTCTGCAGCGTCTCCAAATGCTTTTGTTTTATGGCAGATGAGCTCAGCTCTTGCTGCACGCTCATCCCCCAGGAAAACCTGGGGTGGTGGTGGAAAGTTCCTTTGGAAAGGGTAAGTGTTTTATCGAATTAACCCTTTCCATACCATGCAAGGTAGAGATAGGGTTAATTCACATCGAAAGCGTCGAATAGGAGGTATGTGTTTTACCAATCCTTTCCCTACCAAGCGAGGAAGAGAAAGGGGAAAATGCCGAACACCTGATAATTCATATAGAAAGGGTCGAAGAGGAAGAAGGTGTTCTAACAAATAAACCCTTTCTACCAAGTAAGGTATGGGAAGCATTATTTCACATCGAAAGGGTGGAAGGGGAGGTAGGTGTTCTGCAAAATTAACTCTTTTCCTACCAAGCAAGGTAGAGAAAGGGTTAATTCACATCGAAAGGGTAGAAGGGGAGGTAGGTGTTTTACCAAATTAACCCTTTCCCAGCAAGCAAGGTAGGGAAAGGGTTAATGCATATAAATAGGGTCAAATAGGAGGTAGGTGTTTTACCACATAACCATTTCTTTACCAAGCAAGGTAGGGAAAGGGTTATTTTGATAAAACACCAGCCTCCATTTCTACCTTTTCGACACCAGCTTTCCACCACCACCCACACTTTCTTTTTGTTACTTACTGCTTTCTTGGAAAGAAAAATGAAAAAAATGGAAATAAAAATGGTAGGTGTAACCTTAAGAGACAAGAAGAGAGCAGAGTGGATTAGGGAACAAATGGGGGTTGAGGATATCCTAGTTGAAATCAACAATAGAAAATGGACATGGGCAGGGACTGTAGCGTGTAGACAGGATAACCACTGGTCATTAAGGGCAACTAACTGGATTCCTAGAGAAGGCAAGTGGGTTAGGGGGAGACAGAAGGTTAGGTGGGCAGATGAGATTAAGTAGTTTGTGGGTATAAATTTGCAGCAGCAAGCACAGGACCGGGTTAACTGGCGGAACATGGGAGAGGCCTTTGTCCTGCAGTGGACATAGTCAGGCTTATGATGATGATGATTTCATTATCCTTTGGCCTCAATAAATTCAACACGCCGGCCCCTTCTCTCCCACCCCACCTCCATTTTCACACTGGCCCTTTCTTTCACTTTTATTTGGGTTGTCGGAGAGGGCATTAATCATACACATACACGTGCTAAAGTAAGTTGCAGCTTTGAAGAGGGCTAGCGAAATGCTGGCTCCTGCAACAACCCTTGTTCACAAATCTTTCAAGCCACCAGTATAGGTAAACAGCAGACTTGTTAAGCGGAACCTGAAGGGCCCAAAAAAATATTTTCTGTTTAACAGGAGTTAGTACTATATTTACTGAGAGTTGAATGAGGGCTTGAAACTCATGTGATCCAATCATATCTCTGGCATTTGTTCCATTTAAGCAGCAATTCAAGAGACTTACGCTTATTGAGAGTCTACAGTATGTGAAATAAACAATGCGTATCGGAATAGCTGTATCATCCGAACCGAACTTCCATGCTTCCCTTAACTTTTCATACATTTGTACAGAATTCCTTTAATGAATGCATGCACACTCTGCTAAATGAACAAATGAATGAAATACAAATCATTAAACTTCTCAGAACGAAAATTTCAGACAACGAACACAAGGGACAAGGAGGGCGTCTCTTGTGTTGTCTGAAATTTTTGCGCTGAGAAGTTTAATAATGGATTACCAACTAGCCCAATCCCACACTTTACTTAAATACAAACACTGAATCAAGAAAGACGACATGTTTTTTTTAATAAAATTAACCACAGAACAATTGCAATTATTATGTACAAGATGAAGAAGAGAGAGTTGTGCTGAAGACCCCTGGTGAAGAATGGGAAAAGCCTCCTAGGAAGAGAGGACCTGGAAAAGGTGCACCCTGCCGTCACCGCCAAAAGCCAGCACAGGTTCTCCCAAGTACCATGAAAGGCCACGCCCGACCTTGAGTGACACGTCTAGAAGTACCTGCGAACGTATAACGTTGGTTCCTCGTTAGCGTGAGGTAGCAGCCTCTGCAAGTGACACTGAGCCGGTCAGTCATTTGTGCCGAGCATTGGTGGGCATGCTACTGGTAAAGAGTGGTAGAAATACGAAGGCTTGTTTTTTTTTTTGTTAGATGTAATCGATGGATCGAAACAACTTCATTGTTAGATTGTTAGACCCAATATTAATGAGAAGGTTGCAGGGCAGGGAGCGAAGCTGCAATTTTTCGACCACTTTCTTCACATTTACATTGCAATTAGTACAGTCGTCTCTCGTTAATTAAACTCTAAGAGACATATGAATTTTGTTTGAATTATCAAGAAGTTTGAATTATCAGAAGTTATCAAATATATGACTGTGGGTGAGCTGACATCACACATTATGATTAGGCATTGACTTTATCAAATTTCAAAACTTTTTAAGCATTTTTAAACCCTAACTGCATGCAATAAACAGAAAGCAGAGTAAGGACAAGTTTATCGGCCATTTACAGCTGAACGCAACTTTTATAGAAATCCTGAGTTGCCCAATGCTTCTTTGCTATATGTGCCTTCAGCACAAAGCTCTCTATACCAGTTGAGCAGCATCCCAAGCATGTGGCACTTATTTTTCATTTTTAGACATTTAGGATTATACAAGCATGGAAATTTTTAAACAGTAGTCGGAAAGCAGCAGATATTTTCTGGTACGGAACCCCAAAAAGCATGAATTAACCGAATGATGGAGCTCGAAGTAAGAGGCTTTTAAATACATCGAAACAATAGAGGGCCAGCGAAAAAATGATATTTTTTTTAGTTAACCAAAAGTATGAATTATCAGAGTTTGAATTACCGAGAGTCTATTGTACCAACATCCCTGACACTTTCCTTCGTGTCAGTGTCTGTTAGTCCTCATAATATTGTGCCTAACAAATAAAAAACGAGTCCTAAATGCATACTTCTTTCCTTCATTCACAGCGAGGGTCTCGTTTTGGCAGTCTACATGCCTTGAAGGGGTATGCGAGAGATTATTGGTCAGCTGTCAGCTCGTAATAATATTACGTGCTACGTAACGTCAACGGGCAGAAAAAGAGCACTCCACACTTGCTGCCATGACGACTAGCAGCATTGACTGGCGCTCCTGCGTTTAAATGGAGGTGTATACCACTTAAAGTGAACCGTGGGATGACCACTGCTGGACGCATTATTCAAAGGTCCCAGGTTCGGTCCCTGCCCACTATGTGTAATTGTTTCATCCACTTTTCTTTCTTCTCATTTACATTACAATTACTTCTAACAACACCCCTAGTATAATTTCCTTGGCATAGCCTGTTCTCATGAACATTGCGGCAAAGAGCAATATTGTTAAGGAACGACGACGCTCTTAATTTTTTTTTCTCTCCCGACTGTGAGTATGTATCAAGCTGAAATTTCACTCACGAATGTTCAAAAATATAGACACTTTTGTTCAAGTGCGTTCAGCACATCCATACCTGTTGTATTTCCTACAGTTCTGACTCCAGTGATTTGTCTTACCACGACTTTGCAATTCTCTCAGTCTAAGAAAAAGCTTGCTCCACAAACGGCACGTAAAATATTTTGTATATTAAAACCTGAAGGCTGTACTAGAAAAATGATTACGTATTTGAACCAGTGCCCATATGTACATACAAACACAAAGGTTCAAATCAATCAAGAAAAAAAGAAAGTGAAGTTACCAACAGCAAAAAAAATAAAAAAAATAAATAACCCTGTTACATTTATGTTTACTGGGGACGAAGTGGTGTCATCGTTTTCATGTTGGTGCAAGAACAGCAATCAATATATCCAAAATGCAAATGACACTTCTAAATCTCATTCAAAGACCACTGACTGACATACACAGACAAGCGTTATCCAGCCACATTTTTATCACATTTTTTTTTCCACTGATGAAATGCAATGATTCGTTAGATGCAAAATTGTGCAAATTATCAGTGCTAATGGAGTAGTTTTGCTGTTGTTGCCTCAAATAGTAATGGTAAAGAAAAAGTAATCAATTAGAAAAAAAAATGAAATACTTGGCAAGACAGATTGGCATGATAGTCGGTCAGCATCCACGACATAATACGCAAGTGCAACTAAACAGAGACGTAGAAACAAATGCAGCCAGTGCAGCTGTGATTACAGATTATTCTACACTGATACATATCAATAAGATCTACCAGACAATCATGCCAAGGAAAGTATAGAGGATGTTATATCAGGTAACTGTGATGTAAATGTGAGAAAAGAAAAGTGGATGAAAAGACGAAAAGGGACCGGACCTGCAGCCTTCGAGTAACGCGTCCAATGTGGTTTTAAGAGGCAACGGCACGATGACTACGAGGCACCATGTTGAAGAAATCTGGATTAATTTTAACTGCTCGAACTATGATGATGATATATGGTGTTTTTGGCGCAAGGGCCATTTGATGGCCAAAGAGCGCCAGTTCATGGGACAAAGAATGTGGACAATGATTGTGATTAGCGGCTGTATAAGGGCCATAAAATTCCTCGCAATAAGGCGGGTAAAAACATACAAGTAATAAAATCATGACCATGCCGTGAAAGGTGTGTGTGATGTGAATAGGTGACAAAAGTTAGTGATAATGAAAAACGATGGACATGTATGGCATTAGCACAAGTACCTCACTCGTTCATACCCTTGCGTCCAAGGGCCGTGAGGCAAGTGCTTTCCTATGTAGCCACCGCAGCAAAAACCTCTCTAGAGAGGTCGTGCTACGGTATGCCCGGGTATATGATATGAAAATTATGAATTTCCTTTAAAAACGCTAATAATGATTTGTGACTAAAAAGCGGTTCCCTACCGACGAACATTGCAGGGTGTAAAGGTATATGTTGTCGGTAGGATAGTGGAAAGTGTTGTCTTCTTAGTTAGAGTGTCTAAATGTTTACATTGAATTAGCGTATTTACTCGATTCTACCGCGCCCTCGATTGTAACGCGCACCCGATTTCCACCGCGAAAAAAAAAAAAAAAACCCGTAAGACATCGATTGCAACGCGCACCCATTTTTCCCGCTGGCCCGCACAATCACACCACTCGAAAAAACGACTCCTTTCGGGAGCGTCTTCCATTTAAATATGAGGTATGGGCGAAGCTTGTGCCCATCTGACGTGTAACAGAGCATTGTCGTCACTGTAGTTTTACCGTGGACCGATGTCAGCACGCGAACTTGCTTCGCCTCCTTCTTCTCGACGGTTGTGGTGCCAGGCATGTCGAAGTAAAGAGGAGTCTGATCGGCATTCCCGATTTGCCCAAGCAGGTAGCCGTTGTTGCGCCGCAAGTTTAGGACGAACCTCTGAAAACTGTGAAGCTTTTCATCGTACTCCTCCGCAAAACTTTTCGCATATGCATGTTCCCCTTCGGAGAGAAAAGCCTTTCCTCTTCATAAAGTTAGTTAGCCAGCACCTGCTCGCTTTAAACTGGCTCCGCATTAGGCCTTTTTCTAAGACTAATTGCATAGCCCGCACTTGGAGCAGTTCTGTCGTCACGGGCCGCTGTGCCGCTCGCTGCTCAAGCACATGCTCGCCGAGCAGCTCTTTAATTTGCGGAAACCGACCCTGCTGTGGTCCACTGAAGCCTTTGCGTGAAGCTTTGCTGTCGACAATCTTCTGCTTTTGTTTCCGCCGGTCCCGCACGCACGTTTCGGGAACTCCGAACGACCGCGATGCGGCCCGATTTCCGTCCGTCTCTGCACACGCGATGACTTTTCTTTTAAAAGCGGCATCGTGGTGCACTCGAGTTTTTGGAGTCGGCCCTTCCACGCCGTCCATGCTAATGCACTACTGGATGACGAACTCCTCAGCACACGTACGAAGTGCCGCACATGGGAAACACATAGGCAGAAATGGCCGACGCGCCATGCCGACGCACGTAGGGGGCGGCCATTTTGGACTTGCCGATGGCAATAGATTGACCGTAATTTTTTTGTTCGTACTCGATTCTAACGCGCATGCGATTTATGAACTCGATTAACCGGAAAAAAGGTGCGCGTTAGATTCGAGTAATTACGGTAAAACGTGAAGAACTGTTAATGCCTCACCACATTTATCACACAATGGTGGATCACCACCGGACAAAAGATGTGTGTGTGTCGTGTATGTGTGTCCTATCCTGAGTCTTGTTAGTGTTACCTCTGTTAGACGTGATTTTGATACTGGTGGCCAATGGCCAAGGTGTGGCTTGATAACGTGTAGTTTGTTTCGTGTGTGTGTATCCCACTTGCTCTGCCAGTAGTCCCTGAGGTTTCGTTTCAGAGACGGCTTAAGATCAAGGGCCGGGATTGATATGGATGTAATGGCGGTGCTCTCGTGGACGGATGCAGCGAGCTGATCCGCCCTCACGTTGCCTTGGATCTCACGGTGCCCTGGCACCCAGCACACTACAACATGTTGTTTGAGTGTGTAGAGTGTGCACAAAATGGAGTAAAGTGAGACAAGGACCGGGTTTTTTTGTTTTTTAAGGCTGTGCAGAGCCGTTACCACACTGAGGGAGTCTGTATAAATTACTGCTTTTTGTATTTGTAATTGTTTGATGTGTTTAGCTGCCACAAGTATCGCGCAAGCTTCCGCTGTGAAGATACTTGTGCGTGGATGTAGAGGGCCAGCATCCGAAAAGGATGGGCCGACAGCAGCGTAGGACACAGAGGAGTTAGTCTTGGAGGCATCTGTGAAGAACTCAGGACGTGTGTATTTGTGTTGAAGTTCCAAAAAGTATGTTCGGATATGGGCAATAGGTGCATGTTTTGTAACTTATAGGAAAGACACATCGCAGTCTATAGTCTGCCACTGCCACGGTGGTGGGTATGCTACAGGAGCCATTAAACTGTGTTCAAGTGACACTGCAGTTTCTTCAGCTAGACACTTCAGGCGAACTGAGAAGGGCTGCCTCATCGAAGGCCTGTTTTGAAACAGAGTTGAGCTCGACAAATCATTAATTGTAGAGTATGAGGGGTGCTTTT